ACACACACACACACACACACACACACACACACACAAACAAATAAATAGCCCAGGCGTGATAGTGGCATAAAACACCCTCTCAAACAAACAAACAAATGTCCCAAGTGTGAGCAAACTACGACCTGCGGACCAAATGCAGTCCGTGGGAAGTTTTTCTGGCCCGGAAGTCGACCCAGTAATTGGTAATCAGGCTTCGTACGGGTCTTGAAAAATCGGAATACTCATCTTGGAATTTATTTTTTTTTCCAAGACATTGGGAGCGTCCGGCAGTTATAATTATGTTCCCCATCAGATACAGGAGACAACTGTTTCATTTCATATAGTGCTAGTTTTTGCTTGTTTTTCAGAACTATTCCCAATCCAAGTTTTTTTAGTAATTAATTACTAAGCCTTTGTTTCCGCCATTTAGAAGTTGGAGGCAAACTTTTGGGGTTAAAATGAGACAGAGTGCAACAGGTTTAGGTGAATGTAGAAGAAACTCAGAGTTTAAAGAGTTAAATGGTCACTTTTAAGGACAAGCGGAACCTGTAAATTCTTTGCTATATCATCAGACCAAAGAGCAAGAACCCAAATGGCCGCTGGATTGGAAAAGTAAGAGTAAAGTAAAGTAAGGACAAGCGGGCTAACCCAGATTTCGGGGGTTTCCAGAAATCTTCACCTACACCAAAAGTGGGCATTGCTCTACCTTTTGGAGAAGTTTGGTTTTATTGGTGTGTATATTTTTTTGGTTATAGAGAAAACTCTCCTTGTCTTTGAAAGAAACTGAATAAGGATCCAAAAACTTAAACTTCAAATTTCTCAAGGCAGCATTTATCGGGATAGCCCCCTTGTGCTTAAAAGTGACCAAATAACCCAACTATTAAACCTCTACCATTTCTCCCATTTTTTCTCTGGCACAGAGCTCCGGCGGTGGTTCAGGCTCCGGGGACAGCAACGACGTGGTGGAGCTGACGGACGGAAACTTCCAGAAGACGGTGCTGGAGAGCGACGACCTGTGGCTGGTGGAGTTCTACGCCCCGTGGTGTGGCCACTGCAAGAACCTGGCCCCCCACTGGGCCAAGGCCGCCACCGAGCTGAAGGGCAAGGTCAAACTGGGCGCTCTGGACGCCACCGTGCACACCGTCATGTCCAACAGATACGGGGTACGTTGATGTCTCCTTGTTTGGGATCATTTTGGGATGGAAGTTTTTTGTTGTGTGTCCCCCACCCCCACCCCCCACCCCACAAGGTATGTTGATGTCTCCTTGTTTGGGATCATTTTGGGATGGAAGTTTTTTGTTGTGTGTCCCCCACCCCCACCCCCCACCCCACAAGGTATGTTGATGTCTCCTTGTTTGGGATCATTTTGGGATGGAAGTTTTTTGT